CACCCGCAGTGACTCATTTGGGCAGTGCAGGCTGACCCCTGAGGCAGTCACTGAAAAAGCTGGAGCATAGTGGTCTTCCCAGAGCCAGAGTGAGCTGGCCTCCTGCGAATGCAGTGGGGTTCTTTGGAATTTGTCTGTCACCAGGCACTTAAAGCTGAAGCCAATAGGATCCTATGTTATTTGCAGTGTTTACTTCAGTCAGAGGGAAGAGACTAGTAAAGAAACGGTTGGGTTTGCAGAAACTTGCCTTTCTGTGACTTAAAACCATCATGTAAGTGTGTGTGAGGGTGTGTGAGGGTGTCCTCCCACATGTGCTGCCTCACCTCACACATGCCTGTCCCTGTTACACTGGGACGCTGACCTCATTCATTCAGAACTGTCAGCCCCTTTTTTGCTTCACAGGGGGGTTGAACCCAGATAAAATGCTTTTCCACACAAGAGCGTCCTGAGAACAGTGCTGTTGCAGTGCTTGGTATAGAAAACAACAATGAGAATAAGAATTTTCTCGCTGGCCTGTGATTACACCATCTACAAGAAGTAGCTGCTACTCTTCCGTCTTATGTCTCTCTAGCCTCCTCTGTGTGGGGGCTGATCTGCACAGTTGTCATGTAGTAGCTTCTGTTTTATGTGTGTGTTCCCCAAATGCTGAGATATGTCTGATCCTCTCCCCCACTTTTTTGTAGTGTGCTAAATTTGATCAAAGCTAGTTAACCCTTTTAAAGCATAGGTAACTAATTCAGCAAGCATGTGTGACTGCTGTCTTTGTGGCAAGAACACTGCCATCTAACATGATGTTGGCGCCCAGACAGGTGGTGGGAAGGAGAATGAACCAGCAGGGATCATGGGACACAACAGAGAGGGCAGCAGAGAAGGTGGCCTGGGAGCCAGAGGGCCACTTCCACTCCAGGCTTTTCCACCGTCTCTGTGACCTTAGACAAGCTTCTTGGCTTCTTGGAGCCTCAGTGTCCTCATCTACAAAATGCCTTGCCATAAGGATTGAGTGAAGCATTACATGTGATATGCCTGGCTCCTGGTGTTGTTTCTTCTTGTCTTAACTGAACCCAAAGGCACCGTCTCTCCCCAAAGAGACCTGGATTTGTTGTTTGTTTTGACTGAGTGCTTTGGTAAACAATGAGGCCTGCTTGAGAAGCACTTGCTGGTTCTAAGACAGAAGTGGTTTAGAGGCTGTGAGGGTGAGAGATGGGAGAGGAAAGGGGCCCCGACCCAGGAGGGACTCTGGGGAAGGAAAGGAGCTGTGTGTTTTCGCTTTACAGTTTTGCCGGGTATGGAATTGCTTCTGCCCTCCATCTCCCATGGCTGGGGTAAAATCACACAGAACACAATGCAAGACCAGCTCTGTGGGGGGGAGGGTGGAAGCGTGGAGGCCACTTCAGAGTCAGCCAGAGCACAGCAAGACCCTTCACCTCACACTAGCTTCTTCTCACCTGCCTCTACCAGGTCACCCACCAGGATCCTGGCCCCCGAGCCTTGCCTCCCCTTTCTCCCATCCTCTGCCTCAGTGTTCCCGCCCCAGCCTTCCCCTAGCTCTGCTTCACTCCCAGAAGTGCCCCCTCGTCTAGCAAGTCCTGACCCTCTCTCTCCAGCTCAAGGCAAACTCCTATTCATCCTTCAGAACCCAATCAGACCAGCTTATCCCTTGGGAGGGACCTCAGACAGCTCATCTTGCCTTCTTTGGGCCTTCTTCTGTAGTTTGATTTTGGCTTTTGTTAGGTTGTTTTGTCTTTTTGTTCTTTCATTTTAATTTTCCTTTTGTAATGCGAATGAGCACATTAAGCCATGCTCAATTTGAGAATTCCTGTCTGTGCATAACAACAAACGTGTGACCTGTGAGTGTGCTTCTGACAATAGTCCTGGGCTGCAGGTTACTGAAATCATTCCCACAGCTCAAGTTCAAAGAGGTTGAATGTCAAGCACAGCTCCTCCTACACCCCACCCCAGGCCTCTCATTTCTCCCATGCCCCCTGTCTGGGGGAGAGTAAACCCAAGGACAGGAACTGGTGGCAGCTGTCTGAGAGGGCAGGCGCCTGGCACATTCCTTGCTAGGTGGGCTGGCTATGCAGGGAGTGCCACCCCTTCCCACCCAGCCTCCACCCACCTTTGGAATCATCCCAAGGTGGTCCAGGCTATGTCTCTCACTTGCTTTGTGACCTTGGGGAAGCAGCCACACATCTCTGGGCCTTCATTTTCTCACTAAAGGAAGGGGTAGACTTGGAATTCACTGTAGATTGAAGTGTTGCCATCCTCCAGGACCCTTCTCAGAGAGCAGGTCACCAGTGGAGAAAGGTTAGGATAACCTCAGAACATTTTTCTTCTTGTCAAGAAAAGATTTTGCCTCAGATTTCCTCATTTGCCAGAAATGCTAAGGAGGGAGGGGGCTATGATAGGAAAGAGACAAAATGGACCTCTGTGGAAATTCAAGTCCTGGGCCTGGTATGCCGCTGCCTGGTTCTGTGGCCACTGCTGCGTTCCAGGGAGCCCGCAGGCTGTCTTCTTTGCAAGAGAGTGATGATCAGGGCCAGAAAGTTGGTGATGTGGGGTTGGGAGCTGGGGGGTCGTTTAGAGGAACCCCTTCTCCCCAGAACCACTGACTGGCAGTTTGCAAAGGCCAGAAATGAAAGGACAGAGAGAGGTTAGGACGGTGCTCACTTCTCTGGAAAAAGCAAATGCCAGAAAGATTCCGCTCATGTTCTTCTTGCCACTTAATAAACCAGAATGCTTTAGTTAGACAGAATCAAATTGGGATACAGAATTTACAGATCACCTTTTCACTGCGATTCAGTTTTTGGATGAAGCCACTTTTGTGGGCGTAAGAGAGAGCCCTAAGGACTCAAGCCCTCCTCTGACTGCCCCTTGCCCAGGGCAGGGGCACCTCCGTGGTTGACTTAGCCTCCCGCTGGGAGCTGGAAGGAATTCAATACAGCAAGATCTATTGTGATGGTTATGACGTCAGCTGTGTGTAGGCGTTACTTAGAATCCAGACAGTCTTCAGTGCTATCTCCCACCATTTTGTCAAGGTTCTAAATGAAGCATCATCTGGCTCTCAAGGGACCGTATTTCAAGAGTTCCGAGAAGTGCCACCTTCCCCCCTTTTGCAGAATAACAGGAAAAGACGTGCTTCAAGCACAAACAATCCATTCAGTTCTCTGAGCCTGGATTAAGCAAAATGTTTGTTTCTAAAAGAGTATTTTTCAAGAGCCATGTCAGATGAACGGGTAAGGAACTTGAAGACCTCTTGTCCCGGGCCTGGACTGATCCCGCCACCCAGCTCTCAGGTGCCTCTTGAGGGAAATGATGCCATGGCTTGGTGCTAACAGACTGCCTGTCACCTCCTTCCCTTCGGACTCACCCCCCCAACCCCATTTTTGTCTTTTGTCTTTTAAATGCTGTTTGTTTTCACAGGGGGAATTGTTGAGTTTTCACTGGAGTAAAAATGATTCCTTTGCCTCTTAATGATAGATCTGCTTTGTTGGTTTCATTGTAGGTGCACTTTTCTGTAATGAAGGCTTCACTTAGTCTCATTCTGCTGATGCCACCCTCTCAGTGGCACAGGGGTAGCATCTGTCTCCTCTGGCCCGAAACCTGCTGTCCCCTGCATTTGTTTTTTTGTTGTTTTTTTTGAGTTGGAGTCTCACTCTGTCGCCCAGACTGGAGTGCAGTGGCACACTTCCGGCCACCGCAGCCCCAACCTGCTGGGCTCTGGTGATCCTTCCACCTCAGCCTTCCATGTAGCTACAACTACAGGCACATAGTATCACACCTGGCTAATTTTTTGATTTACTGTAGAGATGAGGTCTGGCCAAGTTGCCCAAGCAGGTCTCAAACCCACGGGCTCAGGCAATTGTATTGAGTGTGGGGCCCAGCTCTTCAAGTGTATTGATGAGAGCTTGAGGGTGCAGTTGTTGAGGATGATTATTGGGGATGACTGGAGCTTCCTTTCATGTCTGATCTCTGTTTCTCTAGGTCCGTGTCCACAAGTGTTGAATGTTCCTAATACCCAGGTGGCCTCGGGTGGCCTGCAGACCTAGCACAAAATGACAGTGAATTGTGCTGTGTGGCAGTTGCCTTTTTCCCATTCCCTTTCCATTCCCTCTGCTGTGTCTGGGAGAATGTCACCACTTGGGGCACGCCAGTCGTCAACACTATCAGGAACTGCCAATCCTTTTCAACAAAGCCACATCGGGCCTTGGGCACAATGAGTAGGCTGTCAGCAGTCGTTGGGCTGAATTTAAAACCTTTTTTTTTTAGTCAAAGTCTCGCTCTGTTACCCAGGCTGGAGTGCAGTGGCATGCTTACGGCCACTGCAGCCTTCTCCTGCTGGGCCCAGGCAATTAATTCTTCCATCTCAGTCTTCCAAGTAACTGGAACTATAGGTGTGCACTACCACTCCCGGCTAATTTTTTGATTTATTGTAGAGATGAGGTCTTGTCAAATTGTCCAGGCTGGTTTTGAACCCGTGGGCTCAGGCAATCCTCTCATCTCAGCCTACCAGTTTGCTGGGATTATAGGAATGAACCATCGTGCCTGGCCAAAACCACTTTTTTTGTTGTTGTTTTTTTTTTGAGTTGGAGTCTCACTGTCACCCAGGCCCGAATGCAGTGGCATGCTCCCGGCCACTGCAGCCTTGACCTGCTGGGCTCAGGCGATCCTTCCTGCCTCAGCCTTGCAAGTAGCTGGAACTACAGGCACGTGCCACCATGCCCACCTAATTTTTTGGTTTATTGTAGAGATGAGGTCTTGCCAAGTTGCCCAGGCTGGTCTCAAACCTGTGGACTCAGGCAGTCCTCTCACCTTGTCCTCCCAATGTGCTGGAATTATATACATGAGCCACCGTGCCTGGCCATTTTTAATTTTTATTTTTTTGCAGTTCTTGTCAATTACTGCATCAATGCTGATGGGAAGGTGCCCTGCTGGGCCTGTTGGGAGGAGAGGGTCCTGCAGCCAGGCAGCGCTGCTCACATCTTTCCCTTCCTCCATTGCAGGCATGGATCCAGAAAAATTAGAGCGAATCCAACTCCCAGTGCCCAGTGTGGCCGAGAAGACCACCTACAACCATCTGCTGGCCGAGAGACTCATCCGGATCATGAACAACGCTGCCCAGCCAGGTGCCCGCCGGGGTGGTGTTGGTCACGGCCCTGTGGGCGCCTGAACCTGGGGCTGGGCCTGGCCCTTCTGGAGTCCAGACAGTTCTCAGCCATTCCCCTCCCTCCACTCCTGGGTGCCAGCCACTGACACCCCCTGCCTGCTGTGGCTGCCACTCAACTCTAGGGCTCCTCCCCTCTTCACCCTCCCCAGGTAGATCTCATTCTTCCTCTTCCACTCTCAGTCCTTCTTTGGCCAGTTTTGCCAGTGTCTGTGGCTCCCTCTCTGGGTAGCCCAAGGCCATGTGGTGAGGACTAGTCTGAGAGTCAAAGTGAATGGAGAAGGTTCAAAGATTTGGATCCGGTGTGCTGTGGATACACGATATTGGACGCCCGATGTGTTGGGTACACAATGTGCCTGGAGTCTGCCCTGGTCAGCCTCATCAGAGGATTTGGCCGGCACCAACCTGTACCAGGGGAAGAGCTAAAATAGTGGGTGGAGTCTCTACTATAACATTTCTCAACTGGGAGTGATTGGCCCCACGGGGCCAAATTGGGAGTGATTTGATAGTGTCTGGAGACATTTGTGATTATCCCAGCCGATGGAGGAGTGCTGCTGACCTCCAGGGATGAAGTGCACAGGACGGCCTGCAGCACAGTTAGTGGCCCAAAATGTCATCGGTGCTGATGTTGAGAACCCCGGATTCACGGCGGGTTCTCGGCCAAGGCAAGGAGGGAGGGTGGGGAGTTCATGGCAGGGGACCAACTGAGCTGCTGGCCTAGAAAGAGAACCGTGGGGGCGGGGCCAGGTCAGGTCAGCACGAGGAGGGGAGGCTGGGATGCAGGCAAGAGCGTCCAGGGTTAAGGGGGCGGGGCTGTGGATGACTGTGCTGGTGAGCAAGTGGAGGGGCTTGGAGGGCCTGACCAGTAGTTCAGGGGTGTCATATGGATCAGAATATTTAGTCACTGGACAACACTTACTGAGTGTCTCCCACATGCTAGCCACAGTGTGTGAGTGACAGGGCCCAGGAAGTGTGGGGCAGATGTGGCTGGTGGTGATCTGTGAAGTCACAGAAGCCTGTGAGTCCTGTGTGGTGGTGGGCTCAGAGGGGAGGTCAGGGCTGGAGTTTGCAGTAGGGGCCCCATGGACATGTGGGTGGCTTATAAAGCCCCAGGAGAGGCAGGGGCTGTTGAGGGCTGAGCCTTGGGACACTGCCCATACCTAGCGGCGACAGAAGGGAGCCAGCACAGGAGCCTGAGCTAGGACCCAAGTGGGGAGAAGGGGCACAGGAGCCTGAGCTAGGACCCAAGTGTGTGTCTTGGGTGGCAGGCTACCGTGGCTCAGGGCTGCTCCGCGGGGTCTCTCCTGATGAGAGATTCAGCCCAGGAGACCAAGTGGGTTTCTGAGATGGTGCCAAGGAACCCTTGGCAAGAGCTATGTGAGCCAGACGGGCTGGACCACTGAGGCAAGCGGAGTGTGGCCTGGCTGTTGGGTGGGGAGGGACAGGGGCCCCTTGGGACTGCTGCACAGAACAGCCCTGGACCTCAGAAGAGTAGGGGTTGCGTGCTCAGAGACATAGTCGGGGCGCTGTGTGGAGGAGGAAGGGCTCGCTGAGGAGTCAGGGCTGGTGGGAGGTGGGCTTGGCTGCCTGATGGGAGCTTGCTGTGCAGAAGGCTTTTGTGGGTAAATCACCATCCACTTTGTCGAGGCAACAGCATGTGTGTTCTAGGGGACGGTGTGGTGGGAGACAGAGTCTACTAACTGGGCGACAGGAGGTGGGGATAGGGGCAGGCTGGAGTGAGGAGGCAGCTGAAGAAGGGGATGGCCTCTGAACTGTCACAAAGAGGAAGGCCAGTATGCGTGATACAACCTTTTCGTTTTTAAGCAGACTGATCCCCTTTCTTACCTGTGTCCACCTGACTTACAGGGCATTACAGAGGATGGGCAGGGAAGTGTGCAGGGGTACCTCTGCCTGGAGATTTTCCCAGTGGCCCATCCTGGTCTCTGATGTGCCCAAGTCCTTGGAGACATGGTCTGGGGAGCTCTTCCTCTCCCAGCCCCTCCTTCCACATTGGGACCTTTTCCCAGAAGTAAGCTTAACGCCCCCAGAGGAATTGCATATGAGCAGTTGTCCTTCTGTCTGGCAGTTACAGATGCTTCTGGGAGAGATGCCAGATGTGGACTTTGGCATTCAGCACACTTGGGGTCCACTACTGCCCAGCTTTAGACTCTGGACAAATCCCCTTTCTAAACCCCAATCTTTTGAGCACCTATTGTAATAGGTTTATATACACCTATTACAAAGATCTCTATAAAAACCTGTTGCAGTGGGTGCTCTAAAGACTGTTTGAGCCCCTGGATCTAACTGTGCCTATAGTCAGTCCCCCAGCAGATTTCACAAGCCAACACAGTTTGGCTGGTTTGTTTGTTTGTATCACTTAAGCCCATCTGAATTGGGTTTCTGTCAACTGTAATCAAGTTCTGACTAACACAGCTTGCTCACAGTAAGATAGGTAGCAAGCTGTGGGGGTCTGGCTTCAAACAGTGTTTTTAAGACTCTCTCTCTTTGAATTCTGGCGCCCTCTGAGTTGGCAAGACAACTGCCAGCTCCTCTAGCTGCCCCTTCTCCACAGGTCTCTAGGCTTGCTCCATGCAAGACACTTAGGTTTTGGCAGAATCTAGTTAGAAGGGAGATTGCGAAGCTCTGTCTGCAGAATGCTTTGCAAAGATTGCAGATGCTGGCAGGATGGGGAGCTGGCTTGTGCCACTCCGGGGCCACTCACTGTTCATGGCCCCTCCGCAGCCTAGTACAAGGAGAGATTCTCTTGCCTGCTGATTCCAGCAAATTGTGTGATGGAGCCTTACTGCTGTGACTGGCTGCCTCACCTGTCCCTCATCTACTCACTGTGACCACAAAAGCTGGGTGATGGAAGGGGGAAAGGGAGACCAATTCCACCCAGATCCCATGACCCAGAATAGGGCTGGTGGTTCTCCAAAGGAAAGAGGGGGTGCTCGTCCTGAGTAAGAGGAAGGAATGCTGGACAAGCCGTGCACCCACAGAGGTGCTTTCCAGGCCTGCAACAGTGGTCACCCTTTCTTTGCTGCTCCCCAGCCCCCCAGAGAGACTTCGGGGGTGGATCTGGTATAGGCGATTTTGACAAGGAACATTGGACTTAACTGATCAGGGAGGGAGTAGGCATGTGGGGGCTTCCTCTGTGTACGATGAGTTCTTTGCCGTCAGCCTGGATGTGCAAGGTCACCCTGGCATGCTCTGCAGACGGGAAGATCCGGCTGGCGACCCTGGAGCTTAGCTGCCTGCTCCTGAAGCAGCAAGTCCTGACCAGCCCCGGCTGCATTGTGAAGGATGTGCACCTGGCCTGCCTGGAGGTGAGGCCCTGCCCTACCCTGCCCTGCCCTGCCCTGCCCTGCCCTGCCGGCTGCCCAGGGGAGGAAGGAGGCTTGGGGAGAAGCTATGGTGTCCAGATAGGAGGCCCTGGTCCACAGTATTCCAGTCACCAGCTAGAGACAGCAAGCCTCCCCGCAACCACCCAAACCACCCCCCAGCAGGACCTCCCTTCCGTGAGACACGCCGAGGAGGAGCCCACATGATGATTGAGTTTCAGTAGTTTCTGTGACTGTTGTTTGGTTCTGAACTTGTTACTAGGTTTTAAAAATTTTCCCTTTTGTATTACAAAAGTTGTATGCATGTATAGACATTCACATGCATATTAATTTGTAGTGTTTTGTGCTAAAATATATATTCATTAACTTTTCAATGGCTTTTATTATCTCCTCCTTTATTTTCCATGTTTCGTTTAGAAAATTAAGGAAGTACAGAGAGAGAAAAAAATAACAACTATCATTGACATCTAGGTGTGTGTCTAGGCAGACCCACACACACATTTACATACACACTTGTAAATGGATGTTTTATTTTATAAAAATGAAGTCATAATGGCCATGTTTTATGACACACACACCCCCAACTGTATATTAGCAACTGTGTCAGTGCACTGAATTGCTTGTTTTTTCCCCATTTTCAGGTTGCGTTCTTTCTCCCTCCCCCTCTCATTAAGAACCATTTTATATAATAAGGATATTAGACCAACATCTCTTATATACACTCAGATTTTTAAATTTAGTTTAATTTTTTTTTTTTTGAGTCGGGGTCTCACTCTGTCACCCAGGCTAGAGTCCAATGGCATGGATCACACTCGCCACAGCCTCGACCTCCTGGGTTCAGGCGATCCTTCCATCTCAGACTCCCAAGTAGCTGCAACTATAGGCATGCGACACCATGACCAGCTAGCTTTTTAAAAAATGTTGTTGCCCACATGAGATCTCGCTATGTCACCTAGGCTGGTCTTGAACTCCTTGGCTCAAGCAGACCTCTTGCCTTGGTCCCCCAAAGCACTGAGATTACAGCCGTGCCTGGCCCACACTAAGATTTTAGAATTCATAGTTCACCTGACTCACTCACCTCTGTGAGACCTGCCTCCTTCACACCTCCCTTCTCTCTTAACAGGGCGCAAGAGAAGAAAGCGTTCACCTTGTACGACATTTTTATAAGGTAATTGACAGCAGCACACAGGCAGACAGCAGCATAGTGTGTCTTGTAAAAAACAGTATTGTGGCATCTAGTCCTATACACATAACGGTTATGTGTCTTCAGTTATTTTTATACCTGTAATTACTGAGTAAAAATGCTCAATTTCCTATCTCCAGTGTAGTGATCTCTGAATGCTTCTGCTTATGTTCCCTTATCAGTAAAATTTTTGAAGACTTAGCCCTAGTATATGATAATTTGTTTATCAATTATATGAGTTTATTTATTTAGGAATGTATATGTAAGTTACACATTTTATACATATGTACACATATGAAAAAATTATATATGTTCGTGAGTTATATATGCTTACACATAAAATTACTTATGAGTTACCTATAAATTTATGAATTATATACATGTATATTATTTATATGCATATATGCTAGGAAACCTCATACATGCTTCTAAACTTTTATGTTTCATGAGATTTTGTAAAGTACCACCATGACTTTAGTCTCTAAAAATGTGTAGAGATTTGTCTTCAGGTTTTGGATGCTTTAAAAAAAAATACCTAATTGTGATGGTCTTGTTTAGCTCTTATCTTAGACAAGGCATCTGTTTTGGTCAATTGGGGCTGCTATGACAAAGAGCCATAGACTAGGTGGCTTACACACAACAGAAGTTTATTTCTCACAGTTCTGGAGACTGGGAATCCAAGTTCCCAGGCAGATTTAGTGTCTGCTGAGGGCTCACTTTCCCATAAATGGTACCTTCTCCCTGTGTCCTCACATGGTAGGAGGGGAAGGCAGTTCCTCTAAGGCCGCTAACCCTACTCATGAGAACTCTGCCCTCATGACCTAATCACCTCCCAAAGTCCCCACCACTAATACCATCGCCTCAGGCATTAGGATTTCAACATATGAATTTGGGAGTGTGGGGGATACAGACATTCAGACCGTACCAGCATAACATATCTTCAGGCAAGGCTCATCACTTGCCAGCCATAGAGGGTGAATTTGTATGTCAAATAGTCGGTAATTTGTAATGTTGTGGCCTCCACGCCAGGTCTTCAGCTCCTCTTAGTGATGGTTTCCCACTGAAAATGACTGGGAGGAGAAGGGTGTCAGCACTGCCATTTTCTTGTGGCCCACCTGTGCTTTCATTATGTGAAATTCCTGCTGTTTCTTTGAGAAATCTTTTAAAGCCATTATCCTTTATTGTCAGTGTTTGTTTAGATAAAACAAGGTCGTATAATCTGGAAACCCACCTCACCAGACAGGTGACCCCATCCAGCTGCAGCGGGGGATATGACCAGGCTAGGGTGGCACCATGGTGGTCCCTACCCATTAAGGAGGAAATCCCAATTTCCCCTCAGAACATCCCAGTCACGCTTGGCCTTGGAGTGAGGGTACAGCCCTCTAGCAAAGTCCAGAAGAGAGCAGAAACCCTCAGGGCTGCATTAGTCACCTGAATCCCTTTCCTGTATGACTGTTCTCAGTGTATTGCCCCCAGAAAGCCTTTGGATGCAAAAACAAAGGATGGGTAGGTGGGCATTTTTCCGGATGGTTATTTATTTATTTTTAACAAAAGGAGAATGCTCTTTGAATTTCGGCCCCCTTTTCCCAGCCCAGATTTTTCTCTTTTGCTTTTATCCTGTAATGTGTACACACCAAGTATGATGTCTCAGAATCTAAAGGGTGTTTTCTAGGTTGTCCTTTCTGTTGATAGTACTTATGCCACACAAGAACATGCAAGCTTATCTGTAATTCAGACAACTGGGAAAATATAAAAGGATCTGTTCCAGCCTGACTATGTGTGCATATATGACTCATTCAGGCCTTATGAGAGAAAACAGGAGAGCTCTAACAGTCATTGTTCAGGAGAGATAATAATGACAGTGAGGGCTCACATCTGCTCAGCGAACTGAGTGGCAGCCTCTGCACTTGCATCTATGTGTACTAACTCGTTTCATCTCCACAGTAGCCCAGGCAGACACAGGCTGTCACCCATTCTTGCAGTGGAACAAAAAGACCCCAAGAGGAAAGCTGGGCCTTGGCCTGGTTCTGTGTGTGGGTCTGGTTCTTGGCCTGGTTCTTCGCCACCCTGCTCTGATGGGGCTCTGAGCAGGCATGACACTGAGGAGTGACAGAACCCCAAAGGTGCTCTCAGAAACACATGGGATAAGCCATGGAGTTTTAGTGTTGAGCTTATTCAATTACATTCTTCCCTTCAGAGACGTGAAGCCTCATGTTTTTTAACATGGCAACTTAACCATGATTTACCATTTCTCCAGTCATTCTCAACAAATAGTTGATGTTAAATACTTGAAATATTAGCGCTTTCTGTATTTTAATTATATACAGTGTGATTTTTGTTGTTTTTTAATTAACTTCTTTGACAGAAGAACCCTAACTCTATAAGCTTCAAAAAGGAGAGAAATGTTGAGGGTGCAATTTGATATTTGGTCTGTCATTTGAGTGTGTGTGTTCACGTGTAGATTTTACTTCCTTGTGATTTACGAGAACTCACTAATGAGAAACAGATGGCCGCTAAAACCGCGAACTAGAGTTTATAATACTCTGTTGTTTATGGAAAAAAATATGAACAGTCTTCTCTTCCCTCCTTTTCTTTTCAGGGAGAAGAGATTTTTTTGGACATGTTTGAAGATGAATACAGGAGCATGACAGTACGTGAGGGTGGAGTACGTCTGAGCTGGGTGCCCGTGTCCCTGCCGAACCTGCCCTATGATTCCCAAGAGGACTGTCTCACCTGAGGCTTTCCTGAATGGCAAAGATTGATGGGGACGTGAATTTAAAATGATCCCCACCCCTGCTAAACCTACTGATTACATTCACTCCCCCAAGTTGGGCCATGTCAGTAAAATGGGTCAGAAGGAATCACCTTACATGAATAGTATAGTGGTGGTGTGTTCACCGAGGGTTTACTCTGTGCCAGGCTTTATGGCATGTATACGTGTTAAATCTCTTCATCCTCATATCAACCAATGGGAATAGCTACTGTCATTGTCCCTTTTTGCCAATGAGAAGACTGAGAGTCAAGAATGTCGAGTGACATCCCTGAATCTTCCCTTCCAGTGAGTGGCAGGGCCAGGCTTCCAGAGCAGAGCAATCTGCCTCCCAGTCCCCCATGCTTCTCCTCACACTATGCTGCTTCCTTCTTTGCCACTCCCCTGGAATATTCCAGCATAGAGCTCTTCCTCAGACCCACAGCTCCAGCACAGGGGCTTTCGTCCCTCCCTCCAGCAGGCAGAATCGTGGGGGCATGGCAGGTTCTGTGGGCAACAGCCTTTCCTGCCTTCCCAGCCCCTACCCATGAGATACTTCAGCAACACATGAGAAATGATCCCTTTCACAGATGTTACCCCAAAACATGGAGCAACTCAGGGGTTTATCATTAACCTACATGTCTAAAGTGTCAAAAAGAAGAAGGCAGCATGTGCTCGGTGGCTCCCCGGCTCCCCAGCTCCCCAGCTCCCCAGCCTGTTCCCTGGTATCAGCATAGTGTGGCTTTCACCGCATCTTCGATGGCTGCGGTCTGAGACCTCCAGGGCCTTTCCAAGGGAACAGAGTACATGGGCGTATTCACCTCCAGAAGTGCCCCAGCATCACCTGGTGCCACATGGGCTGCCTGTGCCCACGTCTCATTCCTGCATCCATCCCCGGCCTTGCCATTTCTCAGCCCCTCAAGAGCATGGCTCAGTCTTTGCTCTTCAGCACATCCATTAGGGAGTGACTCAGTGGTCATTTACCATGTCATCCTACCCCTGAGACATCCTCTCTGCACTGTCATTGTCCACAGTTTGGTTTACTGTTTGGAAATGTCTGGCTACTGTGTCACTTGATGTGAAAAAGCACAGTCTCTTGAACCCTGCCTGTGTCTGCTTTGCAGTGAATTCCTAGCCGTGGTGTTTTCATCTGTGAGATGAAGCCCCTGCATGGAGCCACGTAGGCTGGATATGAAATACCCAGTGAGATGCCTCATGCAGAGTCTGTGCACAGCAAATATCATTTGCTCTCCTTCCTACCATAGGGTATTTCCTGGGTTTTGTTTGTTTGCTTTAATAAACGTTTATTATATGTCCCATACAATGCCTGGCATTCTAGAGAAATGCAAAGGGGACACACCCTTAGCCCTGGACCTGAAAGTCATACCTTAGCCCGGCCTTCCGGAAACCAATCCCTCAGTGAGATGAGGCCCTTGGAGGCTGCTGCACCAAGTCCAGGCCATGGCCTTCCACCCTTCCTTTGTCACCCGTGGTGTGGTACAAAAGGTGAGCAGGCTGTCTGGCTTTGCCCTAGGCAGGCTCAACGGGCTCACTGGGAAGATTGGGAGAGCAGTGGGAGCAGAGCAGAGTGCAGGCTGAGTACAGGCTGGGGGCGCTGCCATGCCTGCTGGGGTGAAGGAGTTTGGGGTGGGGGACCTCAGACCTCTGGAGGAAAGTGCTTAAAGTGTCCAAAAGAAAAAGGCAGCATGCGCCAAGTGATTTCTCTTCTCTGCCTGTCCACCTAGTGTCTTGGTCTGTTTTGTGCCACTATAACAATACCACAGACCGGGTGATCCATGAAGAACAGAAGTTTATTTCTCGCAGTTCTGGAGGCTGGGAAGTCCAACATCAAGGTGCTGGCATCTGGTCAGGGCCCTCTTGCCACATCACCTTATGGTGGAAGATGGAAGGCAGAGGGTGAGAGAGAACATGAAAGGGCTGAACTCCCACAAGCCCACTAGGAATAACTGACCCACCTGTAATAACATTCACCCATTTGTGAAGGCAGAGCCCTCATGACCTCATCACCTCTTAATAGACCCTGTCTCTCAACACCGTTGCACTAGATATTAAGTTTCCAACACATGAACTTTGGGGGGCTCATTCCATCCATAGCACCGGATAACTGGGCAGGTGGGCCCTCACCGCATCCACCCTGTTTGACCAGCTTTATGTAACGGGAGGGGGAAAATGGCATATATTTGAGGCCCACTTTCTGAAAAGAGAAGACACAAAGAAAGCTTGTGGCCGGACTCGGTGGCTCAGCCTGTAATCCCGCACTTTGGGAGGCTGAGGTGAGTGGATTGCCTGAGCCCGTGGGTTCGAGACCCGCCTGGGCAATTTGGCAGCCCTCATCTCTACAATAAATCAAAAAAATTAGCCGGGTGTGGTAGCGTATGCCTGTAGTTCCAGTTACTTGGAAGGCTGAGGCAGAAGGATTGCCGGAGCCTGGCAGGTCGAGGCTGCAGTGGCTGGGAGTGTGACGACTGCACTCCAGTCTGGGCGACAGAGTGAGACTCCAACTCAAAAAAAAAAAAGTTTGTGGTGCTTGAAAGAGTAAAATCTTGTAGGAAACTTGTCCTTGTGAAATGTCATTCCTTTATGATGCCAGGCAATGACGTGTTAGCGTTCACATGTTAGTGTGCGTCAAGTGGTCAGCACTGGCGCAGCACAGTGCCAGGCTGGGAGGTGGGGAGGGGATGTTACCCTGTGTCTTAGTAACCAAGGAAGACTTTGTGGAGGCAGTATGGGAGGAGGCAGACAGCTCTGCCATGACTGACATGATGGCCATGGGCATGTGCCTTTCCTCCTCTGAGCTCAGTGTCCCCTCTGTGCCATGGGCACCAGCACCTGCCATCCAGCAGGAGGCGAGCCCAGCAGGTGCCTGGCACTCAGTAGATGCTCTAGCAGTAACTGTTGTGCTATTCTGGGTAAGGCATAAGGGGACAAGGAAGGAAGGGGGGAACGCTGGTCCTGGGACGGGAATCACGGGGGGGCCTGGAGTAAAGTAGGCCTGGACGCATATCTCATCTCCATCACCTGCCAGCAGAGTGGCCCCTGGTCCATTCTCCTGCATATCTGAGACTCTTCCTCATCAGCAAAGTGGGAATTAACCCCTCCAAAGCCTTGAGTTTGCAACCTGCCCCATAGTCAGCTCTCAACGAACAGAAGCTGCCATCACTGCACTGTCATCACCACTGGGAGGACCAAGAGGAGGCGGCAGGCAGGCTCATGCTGGAGGGGTAAGCCACCCTCCAGGGACTGATCTCAGTGAGAACCCCTACTCCTGGACTGGAGTGGGGTGCAAGGATGAGAATGCTTTGCATAGCACAGAAGTCACTTCTTATGAGCCTCTGGATGGCTGCTTCAATGAAAAGAAACAGGTAACAAAACAGGCATGCTGCTTACATAACTGCTGCCTCTGGGCTTCCCCTCCATTGAAACCCAGGGCTTTCACCACTCATTTACAGGTGCAGGTGTGAGCTGTGTGGTTCCCTCTCCCCCCCGCCCAGGTGAGGGACCTGCTTTGACCTCTCCTGTGTGTCTCTTCCAGATGAAGCCCATGAACGTGGAGTATCTTATGATGGATGCCTCCATCCTGCTGCCCCCGACAGGCACACCGCTAACAGGCATCGACTTTGTGAAACGACTGCCATGTGGTGACGTGGAGAAGACTCGGCGGGTGAGCACTGAACCTGTCCCAGGCCAGGAAGGCCTCTTGGTCAAAGTCAAGAGCCTGTCCCTAGCACAGCTGAGAGAGTAGGTAGAGAGCCCTACCCCACACCTGCCACATATCGTGGCTTTCCAAAGCATGTCACCCAAAGTGGGCATTGAAATTCCAGTGCACCTGGCACTGGGTGTCAGCTGCAGGCAGGTTGCTTTACCTGGCACAGACAGTCCAAGCCCTGAGTTCAGGGAGTGGAAGCCGGAGGCTGGGCTTCTATGAACCGTGGAGGTGAGCACTTCCTATCCAGTACAGGTGAGGGTGTGTGCAGTCTCAGCCCAGAGGTCTCCAGACCCCTGAGATGGTGTGCTGTTAAGATATCTGACAATCTTGGTGCCAGGCACACACAAGTGAAATGGCTTCTTGCTGGCCTGCGGGAGAGGCTTGTGCGCAGAGGCTGGTTCTCAGAACCAGCTGCCACAGCTTCCGCTGTCAGCCGTCCTTTTCCGAAGCAGGCGCTCTAGGAAGCAGTCTCCATGGGGCTGTTCATGGTATTTTATCTCCCACATAAGATCACAGTGTCTTTCTTAGAAAGCACCATAACCCTTTCCTAGAAAATCATTCCCTGGAGACATGAATGTTGGTGGGCAATTTAGAGGAATTCATTACATGCAGTACCATAATCGGCCTGTGTCATCTTCTGTGTTAATCTGTGTGTGGCCAGAGTGACAGAGGTGTTTCACTTTTGGATTTTGCACAGCGGCAGTGACCTGCTGTGTGCACCTCAGATAAGAGCGTCTGTGACCTTCCTCTGCTGACGTTCCTCCACCCAGCTGGTGATTTTGCCTCGGAGGCAGAGGGCTGTGGAGGAAGTGGGAACCATGTGTCTTGAGTCAATCCACGTTCCCAGCTGGCTGACCGAACCCACAAGCCTTACCACAGGACCCAGCCCATCCAAGCCCCTGCTGCCTGCCTCCCATGTGCTCCCAGCCAGGCACATGGCTTTGCTTGTGAGTGGCTCTCCCTGGAGGCTGATTCTGACTGACCCACGTTGTGTCGGTCTTGGCCACTCCTCAACACTGACACCCTCACCCTTAGCCTTCGGGTGGCCTAAGAGGTGCTCTCCTGGCCAGGGCTGCAGACTTCTTGTTTGGAGAGAGCCCTGCCTTGGACCACCCCCTCTGCCTGGCCCCTGAGCCAGAAGGCCCCGAGGCCTGAGCTCTGAGCTGCTGCCCTGGGTGGCACTCTGCCTTCTTCTAGTTCATGGTTCATCGGGGCTTTTTTTCTTTTTTTTTTTTTTTTTGAGTTGGAGTCTCACTCTGTCGCCCAGACTGGAGTGCAGTGGCCGCTCCCGGCCACCGCAGCCTCGACCTGCTGGGCTCCGGCGATCCTTCCGCCTTAGCCTTCCAAGTAACCGGAATTACAGGCATGTGCTACCACGCCTGGCTGATTTTTTATTTATTGTAGAGATGAGGTCTCGCTGCCCAGGCGAGTCTCAAACCTGTGGGCTCAGGCAATCCACTCACCTCAGCCTCCCAAAGCACTGGGATTACAGGGTGAGCCACCAAATTAACATTTGTAAGAGGAAAAACTATAGACAAAAACAAATCAGGTCCTGCCCAGGGCTGAGAATGACTAGAGCAGGAGACAGACTGCAAAGAAGCCTGAGGAAACTCTTTGGGGTGTTGAAAATGATCAAAAAAATTTTTTTGTAGTCATGGTTTTGAGATTGCATACAGTTGTCAAAAATCATCAAACTGTACACATAAAAGGAATACATTTTACTGTGTGTAAATTTGACCTGAAATTGACTTTTTAAAAACAAAAGGTGTTAGCATTTGAATGGACCAAGATGGAGTAATATACCCAATAAGCAGCCATTTTAACACTGTCTAGTGTCTAGTTCTGTCACGTTCTCTTTACATTACCTAGCTTACCCTCTAATCAAGGACAAAATGGGTTTCTAGGTGGTAGCTATTGATAACTGTTTTACAACCCCTCCCTAGCTTGTTTTGCACTAATTAGCTTTTCTATTCCAAGAATTTGCATAAGAAACAAGTTAACCTAATCAGCCCTTTGCGACCTTCCTGATGTGGGTTCCATCAACATGCCAACAGTCATGTGACTAACCCGCCCATCTGCCTACTGTCCATCACCTGATGTCAGCACCTGTGCTTACTTGTCCACTTTGTGATGAGGGGAAAAGGACCACCACCTCATCACCTTAGCAACCTGCTCCCACCAGAGGGAAGGTTTAAAAGCATTTAACCTCAAGCCACCAGTTGCCATTGCTTTGCTAAACTTTGATCTAGCCAAGTGGTTCTTTGAGCTATGGCCACCATTGTTTTCTTAAGCTTTGGCCCCCTCCCCAAGTTTGGGAAGGTGAACCTCTTCTCTCTCTAATTTACTTTCTAAATAAACTGTATTTTCCAATCTAATTTCTGTGCAATTCTTTGCATCTTTCATGTGGCACCAAATCATGGACACCCTGACTGGTCTGACCTAACATTTTTAGAGGTCCCACTAGGATTTTGACCTAACTGCATTTGTTGAGCACTCAACTATGTGTTAGATACTAAGTTCACCAATTAGGCAGGAACTTGATTTATTCCTGAGTTCATGGAGAAAACATGAACATGAGCTTACTGATAAAAAATGTAATATTGATGGTCCACATAGTTTCCCTATAACTTTATGATTCACTGGCTTTATAGTTTAAAACCTAAATACTTTATGAAACACATACGCTAAATTTAAAGCAATGCTACAGTGTTTGTAAGAACCACGAATGTCTCTGTAAAACTATATAACTTAGTGTTGCATTTAGAATTTTCAGTTGCCTATTTTTTCTTATTCTGCCGCTATTGAATATTTCACTTTAAAATTCAATCATTTTTGTTCATTAATGCAATGTAAAGTATATCGAAAGACAGATTGTATAT